AATGTATGATAATTATTTATTTTCAAAAATATTGTTGAGTCCGTCTCGTTAAATACTTTCACACTCTGAATTTTAAATAATTTTATTATCAGAGAATTAAATATAATGAATTTCAAAATTGTGTGTTGATAAACACGAATGTGAATGTTTGAACTGAAAAAGAACGGAAAAGATATACTACCTCCGTTCTTAAATAAGTGCAACATGCAGAATTTTACACTATTCACATGTTCTACTTTGACTACGTTTAATTAAATAATGTATTAATATATTTTCTTGAAAAAAATATTGTTAAATTTGTCTCATTGTAAATTTTCAAAATCTATGTTTTTAAATTTTTTTTACTAATAAAGAATTATATATATTAATGGTCAAAGTTGTGTCTCGACAAGTGTGAAATGTTGACCGTTGCACTTATTTAAGAACGGAGGAAGTACGTAATATAGAATTAAGTAAATAAAGAATAGTTGGGAACCGATTCAATTATACCTGTATCTAGCACCGAAGGAACGATACGGAAGCTCGAGAGTGGTAATTAAGTAATTAGTAGGAGCTATGGAACTCAGGATAGATAGCGCCACCGGTTCATGGTGTGACAGAGTGATCACCAAATTAATAATTAATCAAACAATTAAACAAATTAATTAATTAAATTAAGGCAAATACTAACAATGATAAATATTAATCCATGGCGGGCGCTATCCCTCCTGAGCTTAACAGATCCTCCATTACAATTCACTGGTTTTTCTAGAGGACCTTGAGAATGGGATTGAATTAAAGACTGTATTTTGTGGGTTTACGTTGCAGAGCTTAAATTGGATGCCTGAAAGAAAGAGGTCGGAAGGTGTATTTATAGGATAACAAGGGGGTAGGGGTGGGGTGGGGTTTGTAACAAGTAAATTTGGTTCAACCAATCGTGGTTCGATACAACACGAAAAAGATCTATGAAATGGGAAGTACGATTTTGTTGATTACTTCATATTAGCTCACTTTTGATAAGCAAATCAACTTCAAATCTTCAATATTGCACTTATCAATTGGATTAGTCAACTAATAGATAGATTTATAGGGTAGAAACAAGGATCTAAAAATATTTGTTGTTGGTACTTCAATTCAGTCATTTGGGAGCCAACTCACTATTTTTTGGCTTAGAAATATGATTAACAAAAATGCTACTTTTGCACGATGGGTCACATGCTCAGTTACAAGTCGGTTACACGCCTCAAGTGTAATTATCTTTATACATACAATTACACATGGGCTTGTAATCAAGCGTGTGACCCGGCGTGTACAAGTGGCATTTTTGTATTACTCCGTATTAAATACAACAAAATGACTCAATAAATTATCTGCGCTTCGTTGTTATATAACAGCAATCAGACCATGTAATTTTTTATCCAATTTTCTTGGTTAGTCATCTAAAGACAGTCTCTTTATGTTCTACTATAGTATAAGGGTAAGGCTACATATATTCGACCCCACCCTTTACGCTACCGTAATTGGGTGTCTTTGCAGCACTGGAGTAATATTGTTGTTTTTGTACGTCAACTCCGTCCAAGGCGTGATTAAGAAATGATTTTTGTTTGTCTTAATTTTATGACGTATTATATTGTTTGTTATCATACCAAATTAAAAATTAGGCCACTATTCAAAAAAATATTTTGAATCATATCAAGTTAAATTGAGAAGTGGGAACTTGTGCCAACATACTAATGCAACGTACTCGTTTAGTTTCTTTATGACAACTTTTTCTAAATAAAAGTTGTCATAAGAGGCAAACCATTTTATGACAACTTAAGAGCAGATAATATTTGAAAATTTTATTAAGGTGAAGCATTTCATAATACAGTGAAGGTTTGACGTTGCCATAAATGAATTATGGAGTATTTGAATGCAAATGTGCAGCACTGAGAAGCCTAACCTAAAAATTTGACACCTCTCGCTTTAATAAGCATCACCTCACATGCCAGATACGTGTGCATTAATATGGCCACGACCAACGTCCGTATTTTACCTTGATAACATTTCAGGTTTTTTTTTTCAAAAAAATCTATAGACAAAACACGGACAAAAAAAGTTAGTGTATAAATAGCAAAATGTATACAACAAGTTTTTATATTTTGCAGTGCCCCTTAAAATGTTTTTAATTATGTTTGGAAAATGGCTTATCATCCAACTTTTAGCTTGTTTGACCAATATTGGCTGTTTCATTAATTAGTCAAAGCATCCAATATTTATGTTTGGTAGATGGCTTTTTAGATTGGTTTGTTGAGTCCCAAAAGAAAAAAATGGCTGGTAGGAGAAGCCAAGGAGGGCAGCGTTTCTATTCGGCTTCTTCAGAATTTCCCACCAGGGGTATACAGCTCCAAGGATCTTTTCTTTTGGACTAAAATTTGCCGGTCTGGTCTAGTCTAGTCTGGTCTGTTTAAGTCTGGTCTGGTCTGGTCTGAACTGGTCTGGTCTGGTAAACGTCTGGTCTCTGTGTATTTTATAACTATCCAAGTCTGGTCTGGTCTGGTCTGATCTGGTCTGTTTAAGTCTGGTCTGGTCTGGTCTGGTCTGCTTAAGTCTGGTCTGGTCTGATCTGGTCTGATCTGGGAGAGAAAACAGTCCAAAAGAAAACATCCCAAATCTCCAATGTCCAAAGTAACTTTTTCCTTGGTTAGCCAAAGTTTACTTAACTATTTGTTTTGCAATTCTCTCTTTTTGTTTCATTCTTTTGGCATGGTTACCCTTTTCTAAATTAATGATTTAAGAAATTGTTTTAAATAAAATTTGTAAAACCAAATACTATTTGAAAAAATAATACGTACATAGTATATGCTTAACTAACATATTACCCCGGTATATTATTTTATATTACTACGTATTAGTTATGCCTTTTCTCTTGAATTAAAATAGAATTTATTCAACACATTTTAAAAATTACAAATATACAAATGATTTATTTATATCTATGAAGTAAGAGTAGTTATAAAATTTTCATTATTAACAATGATAAAATACTTATTACAAGTATTATCATGTCTTTATATGTCTTTTTACACTCTATCAGCCATTTTGAAATAGCCAATTTTACCAAATAATTATTTATAACCAGCTAACATAATCAGTCGGTCAAAACAGCTAACACAGCCAGCTATTAGGAAACAGCTAACACAACCAGCTAACAGCAACAGCTAACAGCCATTTACCAAACAAGGCCTTTATGTTATAATAATAGATCATATCAAATCAGATGTACACAAACCAAATTATATATTCAATGAGATTAGATCATATTTCAATAGTTATAGAATACACATAAACATACATTTACTAGATCAAACTTAGCCGGGCTCAACGGGCTCAACCAATTCAAACAAAAAAATCATTCCAATTAAAACATCCCAAAGGCCAACAAACAATTCATGTCTTTAGATCTTGAAGTTATTTGGAGATGTGTAGAAATTAGCAACTCTCTCTCTTTCAAATATAGTTTAATTTCCAATTCATCCTTACACATGCATGAACTGTAATTGATGTTTTGTTATGCCGATGACACAGTTTGTGAATTGTACTTCCTCCATCACACGTAAAACATAACCAATTTCCTTATTTAGTTGTCTAAAAAGCATTTCTTTTGAAGCATCAAATTTATATTTAATATTATTCCTCTGACTTTTGCATGATATACTTAAATAAAACATATTTTTTTGTTTTCTTATTCCATTCCTAAATTTACTCAGGCAAACTTTTATGAGACATGAATGTATTTCTTTTTGATAAAATTTAGTTATTCACACAATCTTATTTACTACATAACAAATAGTAGTATAATTTATATTTCAAATTAATATCTATCTTTAAAAGAAACTAACCCGGACTAGCTGGGTGGACTCAAAAACCGGCCTCCCGGAACTCAAATCAGTACGGGTAGTTTTTTTTTTTTTTTTTTTTTTTTTTTTTTTTTGAGAGAGAGAGAGAGGCAATCTATCGGTGCAGGTAGTTAAAAACCTGAAAATGGCCAAATAATGGGAAAATACAGGATAGCCCGAAAAGTCCCATTTTTCGGAGGGTCATTTTTTTAAGCATTTCTAAACCAATACAATCACATAAGAGAAATTTGTGAACTGAAAGTCTACTATAATGTACAATATATACTTGTACAAATAACAAAGAACATTATACGAGTATGTTCTAATATGACCAAAATTATATTTTAATTATTATGAGTGTTTTAAATGTTTACCAAATACTGTATAGAGTATATTATAATTATTATTATGAATAAAAGTTACTATGGATGTTTTCTTTTGGACTGTTTTCAGTCCCAGACCAGTTCAGACCAGACCAGACCAGACCAGATCAGACCAGATTAGACTTCTGTAGTTATAAAATACACAGAGACCAGACGTTTACTAGACCAGACCAGACCAGACCAGACCAACAAATTTCAATCCAAAAGAAAACATCCTATGTACTTTTTCATTTAATTTCAGTTCAATAGCTATATATGTTTGTTACTGCTTCCGTCATGTTTAAATGTTCACATTGCACAACGGAACGATTATTTGAACAATAATTAAACAAGAGGGCTAGAATACCCGAATTAATTCGGGTACTTTGAGAAATAATTTTGATAGATATACGGAGTCTAATATAATGGGGTTATTGGGATATCATGTTCAAAAAGGAAAGGGAAAACATTTATATGGAGCGGATGAAGTATTTATAAATGTTTATTGGTTTCTTAGCGTTGATCACTCATGATCTGACTAATAGGTTGGGTAATTTCTCGATCCCATTTTTCAATTAATTCGTAGTATTCATTCACTATAAAAATATACGGAGTAAACTCTAATTTTTATGACAAAAATTCATGTGCCAATGACACGGTTTGTGTCAGATGCACTTGACTCAATGACTTGATCTCCACTCTCTATATACACATATCGTACGTGCCTCATCATAATTATAAGACCTTGAATTAATTGGTACGAGTAGTAAAATAAAGCAAGATTTCTTTTAATTTCCTCATGTCACTCAGCTAACATATTACTCCTATTAATCATGCCTAACTACCCTACGATGAGTAATACAGCTAGAGAAGACAGACATGAATTTATAGGTACGAATTCATGATATATTAAATCTCATTTGGATTCAATCAAGCCTAGGTTAGGATACAATGTTGGTGAAGAAGCCGGGAATGGCGGATGAGGGGTGAACCATGAATGTTCTCTCCTTACATTTTCGTGCTAGCTAGACTTGGAATAGGCCGGGTTTCTTTATGGTAATAATGTAGACAAGACAACATATATATCATGGTGGCCTAACATGTGGATCATTTATTTTGGCTGCCTTTGCCTATTGAGTTAGATCCCATTATTATACTCGAACAATTATAATATGGGAAAATTGTGTTTTCAATTCATGTGTTGTTTAATAATCGTCTTTTTCATCTACAGTATCATTTACCCATATATAGTTATAAGTTCATACGAATATATAGTTCCTTTGTAACACAATGACTAATTAGAACTCCGATAACCATTTTGAGAGATGTAAATTCATTAAATTCCCAATGTTTACAAGAAACATTGGTTAAAACAAACTGGTCTCGCAGAATATCAAGCCATGGCAGTTGCCGTTAGTGAAATTATTCGGCTGCGTTGGTTGCTGCGTGATCTTGGAGTCTTCTTTGTCACACTCATGTCATTGTTCTGTGACAATCAGGCAGCCCGTCACATTGCTACTAATCCAGTATATCAAGAACGCACCAAGCATGTTGAAATGGACTGCTATTTTGTTCGAGAGCGCATTATGAGTCACGAGATTCAGCCACAACCAATCTCCACTCAACATCAAGTTGTTGATATCTTCACTAAGGCTCTTGACAGTGAGCAATTTCAGTACCTTTGTTCCATGCAAGCTGGGTGTACGAGACCTACACACTCGAGCTTGAGGTGGAGTAACGCGTGATATGCTTGATATGCGTGATATCACGTTTGACTTAGCATGGCTGTGAGAATAATAGAATGACTTACCAATGTGGTAGCCCTGGATGTCATATATATATATATATATATATATATATATATATATATATATATATATATATATATGTTGGGTTAATGGCCCAAGTCGAGGTCCGGCCCATTCACCCCTTCTACTAGACGTACGGCCACTTAGAACACCAAGTGGACGGCAGGCTAATGTTCCTCCAAAACAGATGAACGTCTGCAATGGGGCTTAGGCTCAACGGCCCATCTCGACGAACGTCTATGCAGGAACAAGGAGCAGGACCACGGGCCACCAGGGATGACGACGAACGTCTCCAGAGCAAGCCTATAGTCATCGGAGGAAACCCAGTCCACATGGTGGGAATCCATAAGGCCAGGAGACGAACAGCTGGTACCTCTTGAGGATCACTTGGAGCAATCCAGCTTGTTTCCCGGGCGGACGAACGTCCCCACTAATTAGGCGGGAAACCTAGATTCTGGCGGGAAGTGCATTTAATGCTGAAGATTTGGTGGTTGGGGCACCCGCGGTCCACAGGCTGCCACGTCAGTAAAGCCACCTGCCCATTGGTGGGTATAAATAGAAGCATTTATTTCATTGTAAAGGGTTGGCAACTTTCTATTCTTAGCACCCTAGCTATAGCACTCTTACTCGCAGCACTTCTACTGCCTTGTAAGACGAACGGCCGACGGAGCCTTAGCGAAAAGTATTGTATTAGGGAGTTATTAAGAGATAATAATACCTAATCACTTACTTGCTACCTTATTGTTTCTTGATCCTTATTACTTGCTAGTTGGGCTAGTTTACTCATACTCACTCCACTCGAAATCCTTGGGCTTACGTGTTGGACCCGAGGGTTGAAGGAATAAACCTCAACAATATATATATAATAAAAAAGTATCCTGATTACAATAGGAAACTGATAAAATATGGAAAGCTAATTAATGCTAATTAATATTCTTAAATACACTATTACACCCCCTCAATCTGTGCAGGGGAAACAACGCGCAGATTGTCTCTAAGAAAGATAAACCGCTGCGGAGACAAGCATTTGGTGAAGATATCTGCAAGCTGAAACTGTGTAGGAACATGACGAACAATTAAATCTCCATGTGAGACACGTTCTCGAACAAAAGATAATCAATGCTAATGTGTTTGCTGCGTGCATGCTGAATAGGATTAGTAGATAAATATGAAGCGGAGACATTGTCACATAGCAAACGGACAGGCGTACGAATAGGAACGCCTAACTCGAACAAAATGGATCGGATGTGTAATGTATCCTGAACTGTGTAAGCAATGGCCCTATATTCGGCTTCAGTAGAAGATCGGGAAACTGTAGGTTGTTTCTTGGATTTCCAAGAGAACAAATTAGGACCCAAGAAAATAGCAAAACCAGACGTGGACCAACTACTGTCAGGACAACCGGCCCAATCCGCATCAGAATAGGCATTAACAGTAGGAGACGACCGATCTGGCTGAAGCAATAGGCCGTGAGCTGAAGTACCCTGTAAGTACCTGAAAATGCGCTTAACAGCCAAAATATGTGAAGTACAAGGAGCATGCATAAACTGGGAAACCAGGTGAACAACAAAAGTAATATCAGGTCGAGTCATGGTTAAATACTGTAAAGTACCTACCATACTTCTGTACTTAGTAGGGTCTGCAAGAAGTTCACCATCAGTGAGAGATAATTTAGTCCTAGAAGGAAGAGGGGTGCGAACATGTTTAAGTGTATGAAGATGAAAACGGGCTAATAGGTCAGACACATATTTTTGTTGGGATAAAAACAGACCTTTAGAGAGACGAACAGCTTGGACACCCAGGGAAAAATGTAAATCTCCCAAATCCTTCATAGCAAAGTAACGGCCCAGACAAGAAATAAATGAATAAATAAAGGAAGGGGAATTACCAGTAATAATAATATCATCCACATAGAGGAGAAGGTAGAAAACAGATGACCCGTGACGATAAATAAATAGAGAATTATCAGACTTGCTGCATATAAAGCCACGACTCAGAAGAAAACTACTAAACCTGTAAAGCCAGGCCCGGGGGGCTTGTTTAAGACCATAAATTGCCTTTCGCAGATGACAAACATGATTAGGAAATTGAGGATGAATGAAACCGGGCGGCTGACGCATATAAACTTCCTCGGTCATATTTCCTTGAAGGAATGCATTTTTAACATCTAATTGACGCATGGTCCAACCAAAGGAAACCGCTAGAGATAAAACAATACGAACAGTAGTAGGCTTGACAACAGGACTAAAAGTTTCTGAAAAATCAACCCCAGCCTGTTGAGTAAATCCTTGAGCTACTAAGCGCGCTTTATGCTGTTCAACAGACCCGTCAGAATTAAATTTAGTTTTATAAATCCATTTAGACCCAACCACATTTTTATGATGATTAAACGGAACTAAATACCATGTGTGATTATCAATCAAAGCATTAAACTCCTCATCCATAGCCGCTCGCCATTTAGCATCTTTATTAGCAATTGAAAAACAAGTAGGATCACATGACATAATATCTGTTTTAAGATTAAAGATAGTTTTTGGTTTGAAAATACCAGATTTGGCACGAGTTTGCATGGGATGACCAGGCAGCTTCGGGGGAGAAGGTGGCGAGTGGATCGGGCTGCTGGGTACTGGAGTCGGATGGTGGTCGAGGAGGCTGTCGGGTTGTGGTGGTGAAGGTGGACTGTCGGGTTGTGGTGGTGAAGGTGGGCTGTCGGGCTGCATGTGTGAAGTAGACCGAGGGCTAGCAGAACTGCTGGGAGAGGTAGGCCGAGTGGTAGCAGGGCTGCATGGGGTGTGTTCAGGCCGCTGCTCTTCGGTTGGGATAATGGAGGAGTCGGCCGAAGGTGGTGGATGATGGGAGTTTAGCCGGGAAGGTGATACTGATGGCAAGTGTTCCGGGGGCACCGTAGCAGTGTTTTCATATTTAGAAGAAGTAAGCTCAGTATAAGGAAAGTAGTTTTCATGAAATCTAACATTCCTATTTATGTAAATTTTACCGGTAAGAGGATCAAGACAACGGTAACCTTTGTACTCAGGAGCATAGCCCAGAAAAACACACAAAACTGATAGTGGAGAGAGTTTATTTGCAGATGTGGCATTAAAATTAGGAAAACAGGCACACCCAAAAATGCGCATAAAAGAAAAGTCTGGAGAATGATTAAATAATTTTTCAAAGGGAGAAAATCCATTTAAATTCGAAGTGGGCAGACGATTGATAATATAAGTAGCACTAAAAACCGCATCAACCCAGAATTTAGCTGGCATTTTTGCTTCGAAGAGCATAGTGCGAGTTAATTCTAGAAGATGGCGGTGTTTTCTTTCAGCCACCCCATTTTGTTCAGGAGTGTCACGACAAGATTTTCTAAATAAAATTCCATGCTAAAGAAAAAGATTACGCATCCCATGATTATCAAACTCACCCCCTCCATCACTTTGAAAAATTTTAATTTTAGTATTGAGAAGATTTTCAGCCATTGTTTTAAAATTAGTAAAATGTTTCAGAACCTCACTTTTATTGCGCATAGGATATAACCAAGTAAACCGTGAAAAGTCATCAATAAATAAAACATAATATTTAAATCCACTGTCAGAAAAAATAGGAGACTGCCATACATCAGAATGAACTAAAAACAAAGGGGCAGTAGATTTATGCCAAACTTCTTGAAAAGGTAACCGTTGAGATTTTCCTAACCGACAAGAAATACAATCATGGGAAAAATTAGAAGTACTAAAAATAGAACCAGGCTTTTTAAGTTTATCTCAAATACGACTGCCACAATGTCCCAACCGACGATGCCAGACAGGTCCTGGAGCAACATGAGTAGCTAAGGTAACTTATGATGGATGAGGCAAGGAAATAGGATAAACACCACCTTTATTAGAAGCTCTAAGAAGCACCTCCCCCGAATTGTGGTCCTTAATGCAAATAGAGTTTTTTATAAAAAAAATCACAAAACAATTATTATCAGCACATAATCTTTGAATGGAAAGCAAATTATATTTAAGATGAGGAACATGAAAAACAGATTTTAAATGAAGAGGGCGCAGCGGAGAAGATAAGGCTACGTCACCAACAGTCACAACAGGTAAATGAGATCCATTTGCAACCGTCGCAGTTAGTGGTCCAGAATAAATAGATTTATTTTCTAAAATACCTTCAGTAGGGGTCATATGAGCGGAAGCGCCAGAGTCAGGATACCAAACAGTGGAGGAAGATTCACCAGTTGGTACAGCTAATGCGGGTGTAGATGGTTGAATAAAACGGGATGAACAATGGACAGCAGAATGACCTGGAGAGTGACAAATTTGACAGACGATGGGAGGTGGAACTGAACCAAAATTATTCTCAAACGGTGAAGATCCTGCAGAAGCATAGTTAGCACAAAAAATAGATGGTGCGGGAGTATAAAACAATGACCCAACTGAATTACAATTAACTGTACCAGGTATACCCATCATCTGTGCAGGAGGTCCTCGGCCGTAGGGCAGCTGTCCGGGCCCATAGGGCGGTTGCTGTCCGTAATGAGGCTGCTGCTGGTAGTATAGGCCGCCCCGTCCGCGAGCACGATTGCCTCTGCCACGTGGCCCTCTGCCGCGACCACGCCCACCCCGCTGCACAGGCTGCTGCTGGTTCGGAGGGTGCTGCGCTGGCGGCTGTTGCTGCTATCCCGGGCCAGCAGGTGGTTGGCTGGGAGCTGCAAAAGCTGGGGCACCGAGGGTGGAGTCGAGGCGCTGTTGATAATGGAGTCGGGCTTCTTGATGGACAAGCTTAGTGCATATAGTTTGTCAAAGGTGAGGCCCTCCGGAAATAGAGTTAGAGGTCCCACTAATGACTCGTATCCCGGACCCAACCCCAAAAGGGCATATTGCAAGAGGTCATGATCAGAAACTGGAGAATTAATTGATGCTAGGGACTCAGCAATTTTCTGGATTTCAAGCAAATATTGTTCCATGGATTGACTTTCTTTCTTTTTCATGTGAGACAACATTTGTTTTAATTCCATGGATCGTGCCAGACTGGCAGCCATAAACGAGCCTCTAATCGTTCCCATATGGCTGCAGAATTCTTTAATTGATGCACCTCAACAAGAATATCACGAGAGAGGGTATCAAACAACCAAGAACGAACAGTCTGATCTAAACGCAACCAGTGATAATACTCAGGATTCATGGTTTGGGTTTGAGATAAATCATAGGTATATAATGGTGGGGCAGGAAGGGACCCATCAAGTATACCCAAAAGACCATTGGAAACGAGGAAGGATTCAAACTGAGTACGCCAGGGTAAATAATCTTCAACAGCAAGTAATTTAATGGTCACAATAGTAGTGATAGAGGAAGCACCAAACCCAATACCTTGACCAAGAGTTGCAAACGAAGTGGGAATTGAAGGGACCTCCCGACGTCCGATCGGCCCAACAGTGGATGTCAGAAGCAAGCCCGGACTGCCCGATAGGGTGGGGCCGGTGTAGCGACGTTCGGCGGTGCTGCTGGACTCCCCGACGGCAAACGATGACTGCTGCAGCAAGCTCGGAACTGTAGGCGTCCACGTGAAGATAGGCGGGACCCATGAAGACGGCGGCGCAGAAATTGCTGTTGTAAACACTGAACTCGGCTGCTCGTTGAAGATGGAGAACGGCGCCAGAGTGGTGGAGGGAACCGCGCTCGGCACAGGCGTTTCCGTCACCGTCGTAGAGATGGCGGCGGTGACAAAGGCGGCGGCAGCGGATTCGTCGGAAGACATAGGGCCGAAAAAAAATATTGTATGTTAAAACCCTAGAGCTCTTGATACCATGTGAGAATAATAGAATGGCTTACCAATGTGGTAGCCCTGGATGTCATATATATAATAAAGAAGTATCCTGATTATAATAGGAAACTGATAAAATATGGAAAGCTAATTAAATGCTAATTAATATTCTTAAATACACTATTAATGGCAAGTTGCCGTTTTAAATGGATTGCACCATATATTTTATTTTGTTTACTTATTTGTATTGCTTTACTTTTATGATGCCGTATGGTCTTGCATAAATAGAGGTAGACATTTGGTGCAATGATCAATCAACTTTCGACATACTCATCTCCTTCCCAGAATCATGTTTTTATATTTCATGTCCATTTTAATAAACACGTGTCACAAAATAGATTGTTTTCATGTGTCACACAATCCCAACATAGTTTTCAAAATAAACGTCACCGATTATTAATTGGTTAAACACTGTCAAGTTCCAGCAAGAAACCAACATTGGAAATAGAATGGAGGAGCCTACTAAAATACGAAGTAAATCTGATCTTATATGGGGTCAGGCCCATCTTCATTTCCTTCTCTCCATTTACTCTCTTCATTTCCTTTTCACTCTATCTCTCTTCTTAAAAAAAAATAATTAAACATAATCTTTTTTCTTTCTCTACCCCGCCATTTCCCCACCTCTCTCTCTATCTCTCTCATAATGGATAGTTCCAGTTAATGGAGAGGAGCAAAAGTCTCTTATATATATGAGTATATAATATGATAATGTTTTAAATTTTGGTCCTCTGCAATATAAAATTTTCAAGTCCGAGTCGCATAAACATAATCCTTTTTCTTTCTCTACCCCACCATTTCCCACCTCTCCCTATTTCTCTCCTAATGGATAGTTCTTGTTAATGGAGAGGAGCAAAAGCCTCTTATATATGAGTATATAATATGATAATGTTTTAAACTTTGGTCCTTTGCAATATAAAATTTTCAAATCCCAGCGCATAAAATTACATTTCTGACTCAACCACTGGGAGAAGTTATCCCATTAATTGAGTATATGGTTATGGAACCACCCGACCAAATATATACACATACTACACATAAACAGGCCTAACCAGCCACACAAAAACCCAGCAAGCAAGCAGCTATCCCTTGGAAGAGTCACTAGGAGTTGTGGGCCACAACAACATATAGCTAGAATCAGGGGCGTAGTACAGACCCAGAGGGCTACCTCCCCTCCAACAACAATTTTTTTTAGTGTATATATATACGAAAAATAATTTTACCTCCTTATTTGAACTACCGCCCTCCCAAGATGAATTTCCTGAGTCCGCCACCGACTAGAATGAACCGCTGATGAAACCGATCTGGAAAGACTCCGTTGTTCGTGCGAGCCATCGGCATGGCACCCAAGGGCAAAGCCCTCGGCCTCGTCTTCAGGGCCCTCCTTGCCCCGGTCTTCTCTGACCATCAGTGGACACATTTAATGCACCACCACATGACCGTTTCTACCTTCAGAGCTCTGCGTCATAGATTAGTTTAATGCATTGATAAGTGTTATAAACTTTGATTAGTTTATTGTTCTTCTCTCTCTAATTGGAAATTCCTATGTTCACATTTTTCAGTGAAATCAAACGTACGTTCCTATGTTCACATTTTTTAGTCGCAAAAAGCAATTAAGGAAAACTTAGGATATGGTCAAATGGGTGATAGGTGTATGAGTATAACTAATGGGCTATATGATCATGTAGGGCTCGGCCCGGGAAACCGGTTCCGGTTCCGGGCCTAGGCCTGGCCCGAGGGGGTAACCGGGGGCGATTCCGGTGCCTTAAAAAGGCGAATAGGCCCGGCCGGTCTGGGCCCGATTCGGGCCTTTTTTTTGGCTTGGGCTGGGTTTAGTTGGGCTAGGTGTTTCCGAGGGGTTTGGGGTGGGGGATTGGGGGTAGGGGTTGAAATACATAAGAAAACAAAAAAAAATGAACCGGGAACCGGACCGGACCAGAACCGGTAGACCCCAGGCCGGTTTCGGTCCTTACCCAAAATGTTCCAGGCCCGGTCCACCACTAGACCCAAGGATCAAACATTCAAAATTTCTGTTGCAAAAATGGATTTACAAATTAATATTATAGTTATTAATATTATTTGTGAAAACCATTTTGAAATGAATGAGAAATTATTCTTCGAAAGATAAGCGTGAAATTATATTTAACATGCACACACTGCCGCCGCCGTCAGTTGGGTCGGGTTCGGGTCTTTGACGAGTCAACACTCAGGCTTAAGATAGGAAGATTTATTTTTTGCTACGTTTTTCGGACAAAACCAAATAAAAGGCATAATCATTCGTTTTTAAAGAAAGGTCATGAACTTTCTTTTAAAAGGTGTCTTTTGGGTTACAAACTCCTGGCCAGAGCTCTATAAATACCCGCCTTGTCTTCAATTTTGGATAATCCGAAAACCATCACACAATCCTCCATATTCTGTCTTCCTTCGTTGCATCTTTGAGTTCGCCGGAATCCCGTTGGGAGCGAAGAACCGTTCTCTCCTGGGAGACGCTTGCTACGTGTGTCGGGCACAAACGTCTTAAGGAAACAATGTTTACGTTGGGCTCGGTTACAAGTAATCTTACGTTTTTCCTTAATTATTTATTTATTATTTCATTTTGCATCCAGAATATTAGTACACATATAACAATCTTAAGACGTTTTCCTTTATTCCTATTCTGTGTACTTGCATGTTTCTATTTGTCGTGTATATGCAGTGTATTAATAGTCGGTTGTTAGTTTAAGTATTACTTTCGTGCAGTTGGGGGTGGGTCGGAGAAATCGAAAACTGAAAACTGAATCGTAAAAACCCGAACCGCAAAAAAAACAACCGAACCGCAACCAAAACCACCGAACCGCAACAAAACCGAAACCGAACTCAAAAAACCGAACCGAACCGTAGTTATTTGGTTTCGGTTTTGGTTTTCACATCTCAAAACGGAACACCGAACCGAATAAACTGAACTTTTTTAAAGTTGTTATTTTATTTATTAATCATTAAGTATAATATTTTGTTTAGTTCTTAATTCTTAATTCTTGAAAATTAATGTTTGATACTAGATTTATTATGATTTGCAAGATATTGACATTTAATAGTTATTACTTAATTAAGTGAAACACTTGTACATAAACTTAAGTCTATTACTATAATACTAATATGTTAATATTTTAAATCACAATTTACATTTTGCTTGTTGTTGCATGACAATGGTACTTTGTTGATATATTATATGTTATGTATGTTTGTTATCATATAATTTTTGATATTGAACAAATATGTATTAATATAAACTATACTTTAAACAACATAGCAGAAAATGTGAAACTTTAGGCCATAAATATATTTGAATAAAAAAAGTAGATTTAGTTTACTAATAAAATTTTAACTTGTGAAAACTCTGTATATAATTAAAAAATAAACTCATGCGTTTAATTAATTTAGAAAATGTTTAAATTTGTATACACATACTCTCTAATTCAATGTTTGGAAGTGCATTTGTTTCTTCTCTTTTTTAATGATGTATGTTTTTGTATTGCATTACTATTAATAATAGTTTGGTGTAGTTAATTTTTTTGGTTTTTTTTTTCAATTACTATTTTTCTAATCAACAAAAATACTTTGGTAAAACCCAAAAAAACCGAAACCGAACCGAACAAACCGTGGTCCCAAATTTTTGAACATAAAATCAAACCGAACCGAACTTTTTACTTTGGTTCGACATTTGGTTTTAGGTGAAAACTGAACCGTTTGAACCGAACCCACCCCTACGTGCAGCAGTGTATATGCAATAATCTCAAAGTTCACAAATTCAATTTTTCATTCGATCTCTACGAACTGATTAATAAATTAATTACATACATTTGTATTTGTTTTAATTCTGCATTTTTCCTAACCATCAATTTGCATATTTGCATACGAAGTATATTACTCCGTATTGCATTTATAGAGTATACTACCTCCGTCCCTTTTTTATTAGGACGGAAGAGGGTGGCACAAGTTTTATGAAAAATGGGTTTGTGTGGTTGATATTAATTTAAAGTAATAATAAAGTAAAAATGATTCTAAGCCATACAAACTTTACCAAATAAGGTATGAGACAATTAAATAGGACATCCCAATATGATAAAACGGGACATTTAAAAGGGGACGGAGGGAGTATATGTTTGTGCGAGTGACGTAAGTTTCTGACTTAGTTGAATAATTGATGGTAAGTTTCTATTTCAATCGTTGTTTGTGTTTTTTTTCTCAATAGAGTAAGAAGTTGTTCTCTTCACCTGATCTGAATTTTTCTAATCTGAATTTCTTAAGTTCTGATCTGATTTGATCTGAATCTTTCCGATCTGATCTGATCTAAATCTTTCTGATCTGGTCTGATCTGATCTGAATGTTTCTGATCTGATTTGATCTGAATCTTTTTTTTTATCATATTTGAATATTTCTATAATTATAATTATAATTGTAATTATTATATTTATAATTGTAATTACAAATATAACGTAAATAAAATTATAATTATAATCATAATTATAAAAAATATAATTATAATTAAAATTAAATTTAAAATTATAATATTTATATCAATTACACTAATTATAACTATAGATACAATTATAAATGTAATTATATTTTTAATTATAATTACTTATATAGTTATTATTGTAATTATAATTATAATATTTATTTCTATAATTACAATTATAACTATAATTATAAATAGAAATATAATTACTCCTTATAAAAATAATTACAACAATAATAACAACAACAATAATAATAATAATAATTAATTATAATTATATTATAACAATAATAATATTATAATAATAAAATATATTATTATTATTACTATTATTATTATAACAATAATAATATAATAATAAAATTATTATTATTATAATTATTATAATACTCCGTATAATAATAATATAATATTATTACGATTGTTATATTATTATTATTATATTATTAATATATTATATTATTATTATGATATAATAATAATATTTATATTATTAATATTATTATTATATTATTATTATATTAGTATATTATTATTAATATTATTAACAATAATTATAATATAGTAATTATAATAGTAATAATTATAATTAATATAATAATAAAAGTGATAAATCATGTTTGAATTTTTCTGATCTGATTAGAATGTTTCTGATCTGATCTGAATGTTTGTGATCTGGTCTGATCTTATCTGAATCTTTCTGATCTGATCTGAATGCTTCTGATTTGATTTGAATCTTCCTGATCTGATCTGAATTTTTCCGATCTGATCTGATCTTATCTGAATAAAATAAGAATAAGGAATAAGTAATAAGATTAAAACGAAGAGAACAACTTCTAAATCTAATACGGAGTACGTAGTACAAAGTATTTATTTTAACTGTTCATTTTGATACTTGTATATTTACTGTGATCAACTAATTGAATATTGAATATTTTTTTGCTTCACTACCTCTATTCCTTGTCTTTTACTTTTTTTTTTGAACTGTAACTGTTCCGATTCGTGTGCATATTAGTGAAATCTTTGCACTTTTATTCGGCCTATATACTTTGTGTACACATTGATTCTCAAAATTAATTCCAACATGTGAATCCGTCAGTTTTTTTGTAAACAGAATGGGAGACAAATGAAACATCACTTTTCCAAAAGTTTCACCGCTCACTACTGTCCATATCAGTTTTCTCGCGGGGAGAAACCTAGCAAATTCAACGGTCATGATTTCAAACGTTGGCAACAAAAAATGATGTTTTATTTAACAACGTTGAATTTGGCTAAGTGTCTCTCCAAAAGCCAACCTATTTTAGAGGAAGGCGAGACTGATAAGGAGAAAGTATTCGCGGTGGATGCGTGGAAGTATTCAGATTTCTTGTGTATAAATTATCTCTTAAACGGGCTTGATGACTCCTTATACTCCGTATATGCCGATATCAAGACGACAAAAGAATTGGCGGATTACTTGAGAAAAATACAAGATCGAGGATGCCGGAAAAAAAGAAATTTATTGTCAGTCATTTCTTGGACTTTAAAATGGTTGATCACAAATCGATTGTTTCTCAAGTTGAAGAATTTCAATTTATTCTTCATGAAATTCACGCTGAAAGTATGTCCTTTAGCAAGTCCTTCCAAGTGGTTGTGGTAATTGAAAAATTGCCTCCCAAATGGAAAGACTTCAAGAATTATTTGAAGCATAAGTGTAAGGAAATGTCCCTAGAGGAGCTCATTGTTCGTTTAAGGATAGAGGAGGATACCCGCAAATCCAAGCATAAGGCTGGACGATCTAATTCCATGGAAGCGAAAGCAAACATGGTGGAAGCGGGATCCAAGAAGGGGAAGAAGAGGAAGCACGATGACGAGGGGAAGAAGAGGAAGCACGATGACGAAGGAATAAGTGGAGCCAAACCTTCGTCAAAGGAATTTAAAGGTAAGTGCTATAATTGTGGCAAGCCCGGTCACCGTGTAAAAGACTGTCGTGCCCCAAAGAAAAAGAAAAAGGGTCAAGTCAACATGGTTGACAACCTCTGAAAATTTTGGATGAATGAACTTATGCTCTGTAATCTCTCAATGCAACTTGGTGCGAAACACCAAATTGTGGTATGTTGATATAGGAGCTACCCGTCATATTTGCACTAACAAATGAATGTTCTCCGATTATCAACCCGTTGATAATGAAGAACAAATCTTTATGGGTAACTCATCCGCTTCAAAGGCGGAAGGTCGTGGCAAAATTGTTCTTAAGATGACAAGTGGAAAACCACTTACCTTGACTGATGTGCTACATGTCCCCGACATACGTAAGAATCTGATTTTGGGCTCCCTCCTTAGCAAGAATGGCTTCAAGCTTGTCTTTGTGGCTGACAAATTTGTACTTGCTAAAAATGATGTGTTTGTAGGGAAGGGCTATCTCAATGACGATTTCTTCAAAATGAATGTACTTACTATTGTACCCAAACTTGTTGATAATAATAAATTGGGTTCTTCTTATTTGGTTGAGTCTTCTTCTATTTGCCATGCTAGATTAAGACATGTCAATTATGATACTTTGCGTAGATTAATGCATTTAGAATTGCTTCCTAGATGTCATATTGATCCTAATCACAAGTGTGAAATTTGTGTTGAAGCAAAAATGGTTAGGCAACCTTTTCACTCTATTACTAGAAAAACTGAACCACTAGATCTCATACACACAAATCTTTGTGATCTCAAGTATGAAGAAACTAGAGGGAGAAAAGGTATTTCATTACCTTCATTGATGATAGCACAAGATATTGCTATTTGTACTTGCTACATGGCAAAGATGAAGCTGTTAATGATTTTAAGCATTAAAAAGCTGAAGTTGAAAATCAACTTGGAAGAAAGATTAAAGTGTTAAGGAGTGATAGGGGTGGTGAATATGAATATCCCTTTGAGTCCATTTGTTCGAAAAGTGGAATCATTCATCAAATTACTCCTCCTTATACACCTCAATCTAATGGAATTGCAGAGAGAAAAAATAGAACGTTAAAGGACACGGTTAATGCCATGTTAGTTAGCTCTCGTGCACCGAATAACTTGTGGGGGGATGCTATCCTAACCACAAATTTGATAGTGTAATGCTATCAAATGGATTTAAAATCAATGATGCCGACAAATGTGTGTATGTGAAAGGCAATCAAACGGACTACGTCATAGTTTGTCTATACGTAGATGATATGCTTATTTTTTTGTAGTAACAACGATTTGATAAAAGCTACTAAAAGTATGTTGGCCAGGAAATTTGAAATGAAGGATCTCAGTGTTGCTGATGTAATTCTAGGAATTAAAATCACCAAAACACCCAAAGAGTTGATATTGTCTCAATCACACTACATTGAGAAAATTCTTGAGAGATTTAAGAAGTATAATATCAAACCCATGGAAACTCCTTTTGATTCCAGTGTTCACCTCAATAAAAACAGAGGAGAAAGTGTATCACCAAATGACTATCCTCGGGTCATAGGATGTTTAACATATGTCATGAATGGAACACGACCCAATATAGCTCAAGCTGTGAATAAGCTAAGCCGGTTTTCAATAAATCGCGTTAGAGAACACTGGAAAGCGCGCTTACAAGGCTGCTTGGGTATTTGATGTACACCAAAGACTATGGATTACATTTTTGAAAAATATACAGTCGTGCAAGAGGGATATACCGAAGCAAATTGGATATATAATTCCAAGGATACAAAATCAACAAGTGGATATGTGTTTACCCTTGGAAGTGGTGTCGTGTCGTGGAAATCTTCCAAACAAACATGTATTGCAAGATCTGCCATGGATGTTGAATTCATTGCCTTAGATAAGGCTGGAGAAGAAGTTGAATGGTTGAGAGAGTTTTTGGAAGATCTTCCTTGTTGGGAAAAGCTTGTCCCTCCAATATTCATTCATTGTGATAGTCAAGCTGCAATTGGAAGGACAAAAAATGCAGTTTATAACGGTAAGTCTAGACACATCCGGACGTAGACATAATACCGTTAGAAAACTAATTAAAAATCAGATCATCTCTCTTGACTATGTTAAGTCGAAAGAAAATATTGCTGATCCGCTAACCAAACCTCTTTCGAGAGAGTTGGTCGAGACATCAAGGAGAGTGATGGGTACGTGACGTGCACTTTGTCGTGGTGTGCACTCAAAATAATAATACAATACAACAATTATACGTAGTATAATGAGGTAAGGTTCGTATCCACAGGGAAAGGAATACTTCTCTCTTTATAAACTAGTAACAAGGGGGGGGTTTAGGTTGAGTATATGAACTTAAATTGTATTTAAACACGAAGATGAACGAGTTATGTGGTTTAATTAATAAGAAGGAGACTTGGCTTTGCTTTTATCTACTTAATGAAATGTTCGTCGATCCCGGTTATATCTTTAACTATCTTCCTCTCGAATACTCAATCGAGGAGTATATCCAGTTCATCGAGGGTAGTTATTAATAACGAGAAGCGTTCATTAATAAAACTTACTACCGAATCAATATAGAACAAGCGCCGTATATTAACTTGATAGTAGCAATAAAATCAAGATGAAAACGATTGAGATTGATAACCTCAACACAAGCGGTTTATTGGTTCAATCAATATAATTAATTCCCCTTGGCTTATTAACCATGAGAAGCATGCATTAACAACCCAAGTTTACTATCATGAAAGAACCGAATTAATAACAAGCGTATTAACCGATTGATTCTAGTAATAATTAATATATAGAACAAGACTAGTTGATACTTTAAGTAATGCTCAATATATTAATATGGAATATGAATAGGAAGTAATTAATATTCAAGGAAGAAGATTAAAGAAAATAACTCACAACTTACAAATCATTAAGCTTCAAAGTAGCAAAACCAAGATGGAAGAGTTTAGCTCCTCATTTGGAGACTAAACATGATGAAAAATATAAAGAAAGAATTTGTCTAAATTGAGCTAAGAAGTATATGTGAATTGGTAAAAATATTGTGAAGGAAAGGAGGTGTATTTATAGGCTTTTTGGGGTGCAGGTCGGGTACTCGATCGAGTATATATATGTACTCGATCGAGTATGTGCAGAAAGCTGAATTCGATCCATACTCGATCGAATTTATAGTAGAATTCATAGCTATACCCGATCGAGTATGTCGGTGTACCCGATCGGGTATAGACACTCGATCGTGGGTAAATCTTCCTCTGCATGTTCCTTTGTTTTCGGATCTGATCCGATTTGAAATTTCAACCAGATACTCGATCGAGTATAGGAGATACTCGACCGAGTATAGACAAAAATCAGGATTTCCTTCTTTTGTCTTGTGATTTTGCACCTTCCTTCCACTTTTTGGGGTTCACCAACTGTCCTTGAGTGATGTCAGACCTGTTTGAGCTCAGAATAAACCTAATCTAAACAATTTACAAGAATTTAACAAACTAAACTATTACACCAAAAGTGTGTAATTTCCGAAATACTAAACAACCAAAACTAACTAAAAATGTAATTAAACACACGGAAATTACAAACGTATCAATGGGCCTAGGGCCAAAGATCCAATAGAAGTCTATGGGGAAACCCTACCTATTATTGAGAGTCCCTCATAATTAGGTTCAAAGGGAAAACACAACTGTGGACTGGCTCGGGCAGTACTAGCCAAGATATAGTACACTCATGCCATGAGCACTTAGGGTAAGTTACGCTTTTAATGATCTCTATATCTTGATACGTTCAAGTAAGGTATGACATGATACTTTCCATATAGATCTCTTATGATGGTGGAAGAAGGCCGCTTCTATGAGAGTCTATGGTAGAAGATAAATTCTCCGGTGCACGATATACTCTCTAAAACACTAACTGAACCAGGAGGTGTTCAAGGCCGAAACGAACACAAACGTGAGAACCAAAGATGCACTCGGGGCTCTGTGTGTTATTCATTGTCTAGGTTTACGCTAAAACTGACAGTTCAAGGTAAAAATGGATATTGATTGGACGGTAAATCCGATGGATATACACTAAGGTAGGTTCAAAGTTTCACGACTACTTAACCCTATGCAGAGTTCCCATCTTCCCATGTCAAATTCCAATATGTTTCTTGTCCTTAAACCAATTTCCCATTCATGTGGGGGGATTGTTGGAAAAATGGATTTACAAATTAATATTATATTTATTGTAAAAACCATTTTGAAATGAATGAGAAATTATTCCCCAAAAGATAAGTGTGAAATTATATTTAACACGCATACACTGCCGCCGCCGGTCGGGTCAGGTTCGGGTCTTTGATGAGTCAACACTCGGGCTTAAGATAGAAAGATTTATTTTTATCTACGTTTTTCGGATAAAACCAAATATAAGACACAACCATTCGTTTTAAAAGAAAGGTCATGAACTTTCTTTTAAAAGGTGTCTTTTGGGTTAGAGACTTCTGGCCAGAGCTCTATAAATAGTTAAATACCCGCCTTGTCTTCAATTTTGGATAATCCGAAAATCATCACACAATCCTCCATATTCTGTCTTCCTTCATTGCATATTTGAGTTCAACGAAATTCCGTTGAGAGCGAAGAACCGTTCTATCCTGGAAGACGCTCGCTACGTGTGTCGGGCAAAAACGTCTTAAGAAAACAACGTTTACGTTGGACTCGGTTACAAGTAATCTTACGTTTTTCCTTAATTAAATTATTTATTTATTTATTATTTCATTTGCATCCACACACATAACAATTTCAAACAGGGAATGTTCGTTTTCTGATCAAATGTGTCAACCAATAAACCGCTACTGGATTCGTCATTGTTGAATTGATCAAATGCATTCATGAAAGTTCTTTTTCTTTTTAAATTACAAAATAAATAAAGCTATTGGTAGTCTGTTGTTTTCTTTTGATTAGTGGGATCATCTGATTGGGGGGACTGTAATCAAGCGTTCATATTTGATTTTTTAAATGAATATCATATACTTAGTCATGGACCCGGGCCGGGCCGGGCCGGGCCAGGCTTTTTTTGAAAAGGAAGGCCCGGGACCGGCCCGGGTAGCCACCGGTTCCGGTCCAGGTCCGGGCCGGGCCTCCGGTTTGGTTATATATATATATATATATATATATATATATATATATATATATATATATATATATATATATATATATATATATTTGCTTTCCTAACCCCCCTCACCCCCTCCTAACCATCAAGCCCAACCCGGGTGGAACCCCAAAAAAATGAAAAAAAAAAGAAAAGAAAAGAAAAAAAAATCAATTCGGCCCGGACCCGACCCGGCCGGGCTGGTTCGCCAAATACAAGGCCCGAGCCCGGACCCCCCCCACCGGGCCTAGGCCCGACCCGGACCCGGACCCGAGAACCGGGCCGGTTCCGGGCCCGCACAGTAGTGGGCCGGGCCGGTCCCGGGCCGGGCGGCCTGAACCGGGTCCATGACTACATATACTATCATGTTTAACACTACAATTGACGACTTGTGGTTATAAATAAGTACAAAGTGATAATTTTTTGGAGGAAAAGGCCAGTTAAGTATATGAAGTTGCAGAGTGTGATAAATAAGTACATAGTGATAATTTTTTGGAGGAAACGCAATGGCACATTAAATTGCATATTTAGTGCTAAACTAGTACATTAAATTGCATATTTAGTTAAGAGCCGTTTTCTTCGTACACGGTGGAGGCTGACTCAGCATCCTCCCATCCTCGGAATTTGTGTAAAAAACCAGGTGTGACCAGGCTGCCTCGTGTGTATGAAGTAAGCCCTAGCGGCTACTGGTTCTGCCGCAATGGCCTTTGGCTTGTGTCTCTGGAGGAGCGTAGAAGAGCGGGACCCCATGCCGCCGCTGCTTGTGCTGTGAAGCCTGTGAGTGAAGCTGTCTAGCGGCCCTTACTGGTGGAGCTTGGGAAAAAATCAGACTCCCTTCGAATCTGGCCCTTGAGCTGCACATATGAAGTTCTCAGCCCATTTCGTCACTCCTGCTACGGCGATGGGCTGATGACCCTCCAGAGCCGGTGGCGAGAGTCTGCAGCAGCTGGTGAGCTTCACCTGACGGCGCACGATGGAGCCCTGGACAGTGAGAACCTAGATGACGACGACGCGTGGCTTGGGCCTAAAAGGAACGAACTAAGAGTGGCAAACAGATGTACAAGCACCTTTACGTTTGAATTGCAAACTGATGTACTTTTTACTCAATTTTTTATATATTATTGAGTACAAGCACCTTTACGTTTGAATTGTAAACTTATGTGCTCTTTACTGCACGGCTCCCAATTCATGTACTTAATTGACCATTTTCTCTAATTTTTTGTAAGAGATAAGAAATAACTTTGCAGGCAATTACCATTTGTTGGTTATTTTATTAGAACCGTCAAACCAAAGATGAAGAGGAGTAATAAGCTCAATTCCTCAATCTAGTACTACGTAATAAAGAACCCAGAAAACACATATCTTAGTGGCATTTTATTATTTTAAATAAAATACGGAGTACCATTAAGAACAAAAACTTTTTTACTTGATCAGCAAAAATGAATTTAGCTGATCAAAAATCAATAAACCAGATTCAACCATTTTAATTAAATACAACGTAGCTCTTACGAAACGGGTCTATGTTATTAAGAGTAAATATATAGAACATGGCAACATGTTCATGCAAGCTCAACTAAAGGGGTAAAAAGAATACTTGTTTAAGAAATGTAAGGTACAATGTGATCATCTACCTCCTAAATCTAATCAACTCCAAACAACAGAAATTGTTTATTCTGTTTTTGTTGGGTTTTTTAGCAGGGGAGGTTGGTTGGGGGTTTGGGGGGGGGGGGAGGCATTTCTAGTAGTTGCTAAGTGTTTCTTCCGTAAAAGAGCACATGAAGAAGCGGGAACATGAAGTTGATAAACAGATGATAAAGCAAACAATGCTGGGTCCTATAGTGCTTGCTACTTACCCAGGTTAACTTCGTCTTTTAGGGGTTTTGGTGATTTTTTGCGCAGTTTGGCAGGGGACTACATTAACAATGTTCCATTTGCTGTGCTTCTATTCCTTTGAGGCCATGATGCTCTTCCCAAGAAATATTCCATCTCAAGTGCAACTCATCCAGCAACAACCTATCTCTAAAATGTGGGTTGTTGTGTATCATAAGGGAGGGTATGGGTTGTAATGTACTCCACCATATCCACTGCCAGCCTCACGGTGAACCTGAATAATTATGAAAAAGAGGAGGGTGAATATGAGTAGCTGGAGTTAAATATTCATTTCAATCGTCCAAAAGCAGTGTGCTAATTAAATTCCTTACAAGTGCTTAATCAGAAAAGCTGCTATAAAATACTCCGTATAGCGCAGTCATAATTCAGGATTGCGTTTAAGACCAATCAATCAGGCCATAAAGTTTTAGTCTAAATGTCATTAAAGATTGAATCCAGACTATTAGCTAACCGAAGCAAAATCTTGTGCACCCATATGTCTGATTTTCTGATGTGGAACTCTAGCCGAGTTAATCTATTATAGCATGTGTTCGAAACCTTATGTTTGTTCATACACATTATTGTAATCCCCATGCTTTCAAGTACTGTCATAATAAATATCTAGCAAATTAAAAGTGATAAGAGGGATACAACAGTCTTTGTTCTTAAAACTAGTAGCATACTGAGGGAGGTGATGATGAGATCAGTCTCAAATGAAACAACTCGCATGGACTACAGAAGTGTGATTATATTTTAACAACGGGTGACTCCGTGATACAGAAGTCAAAACCCGTGACTAAGGATGGCAATGGAGGCAGGGGCCCGCAGGCTTTGGGTGAGATATTCCTACCCCACTAAAACATGGGGCAGGTGACAGGGAATGATAAACCCGCCCCGCCCCGCCCCCATTTTATATACACACACAACATATTTATATATTATAAATAACATATAAACATATATATAGTTATAGTTATAGTTATACTATATATAATAAACACATAAACGTAGATATACATAATCCATATACATACACACATGTATGTGTATTAGCATAGTTGTCGATGGCGTCAAATGGCGCGCGCGCCATGCGCCATGAGGCGCAGTTTTAACCCCTGCGCTACGGAAAAGAGCTGTGGCGAGGCAAATACACATGGCGGCGCCATTCTTGCGCCTTCGCCATACCTGCGCCTTCGCCATGGCGATGCGACTGCCTTTTCTAAAAAAAGGCCGCGTCTTTGAGCTGTAAGTTGTGGCCTTTTGGCCCATAATTATCTGCGACCCATTATAACCATAAAACTGTAACAAAAACTTACTATTTTTAGCCCATATTACTAACTACAACCCTAAAGTCAATAAACACAACAAAGTCAATATCCGGAAGTTAAAGCTGCTCTGCGCAAGAAAGGGTATGCGACAAACTACAGAAAGGCAAACGACAGAAAAGCTGCTCTACACATGACTCTCATTGACTTCTTCCAACTACACAAGGTACGACTACCTCTTTAATGCTGTGTATAAATGAAGAAAAGTTCAGTTTATACAGTTACAATTTATCCAAAACTTTATACATTATATATATTCCTGAAAATGTGAACTTCATTTAATACTTCATGTGCTATGAGTATTAAATACAGAGCAGCTCAGCCTTTACTCCTTAATGTTAGATGCATAATATATTTATATGCTATGAGCCTATGATACTTTATGTCTTTATCAATTTATCACTTTAAACTTTGAAATAAATTTAGTTAGATAGATAGATGCTATGATCAGATAATTTATCAATTCAAATACTTATAGCATAAGCATAGTAAAATGAAGTTTAAACTGAAAGTATTAAACTGATGCTAGTAATTTAAATAGCTAGTATTAAGATGCTAATATGATATCATGCTACATGCTAGTAAAATGAAGTTTTAAATAGTTTATCAATTTAGTTATAGCATTGTAAAATGAAGTTTTTACTTTAGAACTTAAAGTATTTAAAGTTTTAAACTGATAAACTGATACACTTTAATAAGTTAATTACTTAATTTAGTTAAAACTTTACACTTTACAGTTTAGAGTACTTGATACTAGAAGACTTAACAAAATTATAACAGTTTACACTTAACGGTTTAACATATACAATTATACATAGATTTTAACTTATGAGTTATGATATTGATCTGTTTTATGTTAATTGTTATTACAGAGGTAACCGAAGAGGCAGAGCCACAAAGGATGTCTGTTGCCTTTGCTAAGGAGTTCTGTGAGAAAGTAAAAGAAAAAAACAACAATGAATTGCGCTGCACGTACTGCGGGCACGTGACTAAAGGTGGAATTACAAGGTTTAAACAACACTTGACTGGGAAGCACCGCAACACAAAACAGTGTGAACTCATTCCCGCTGATAAGAGGGCTGAACTACAGGCGCTAGTCTTGAAAGAATCTGCTGCTAACTCAGAAAAAAATGTGTGTGAACAAACGTTTCGAAGTACATACACAGTACAGCAGTCTGGTGGGTCAAGTGCCAATAGGGTGAATGGAGATGATGACGTTGAGATAACTGGTTCTCAGTCAAATGCAGAGGGAGGTGGTGTGTCTGGGCCTATGGATAAGTTCGTATATCCAACAAAAAAACGTAAGGAGGCATTGACACAATCAACAATCCCATCACACTTGAAGAAAAAAGAGAGGGATGAATATGCTCAAAGCCTTTGTTTGTGGTTTTACAGGAACAACATCTCCTTTAATGTGGTTCATGACCCTTTGCTGAAAGAAACACTAGAAAAGATTGGCAGGTTTGGAGCCGGGTTTAAAGCACCAACGTATCATGAAGTGAGGGAGACGTTCTTGCGAAAAGAGGTAGCCAAAACAGATCTGGTGGTCAGTGAGCACAAAAACTTCTGGGAATTAGATGGCTGCACTATTATGTCAGATGGGTGGCAGGATAAAAGGCACAGAACTCTAGTGAACTTGTGCGTGAATTCTAGCAAGGGGACAGTGTTCATGAAAGCCGTAGATGCTTCATCTTACAAGAAGACCGGGGAAGCACTTTTCAAGCTCTTTGATGAGTGGATTAAAGAAATAGGTCCTCAAAGTGTGATACAAGTTGTGACCGACAATGCTAAAAATTATGGATTAGCGAAGAGGAAAATAGAACAAAGATATCCACATATCTTCACAACGGGATGTGCAACTCACTGTCTTGACCTTGTTCTAGAAGACTTTTCAAAGAAGATGCCGATAGTTAGAAGAACTGTGAAGACGGCACAAGGGATTACTACCTACATCTATAGCCATACCCTTGTTCACGACTTGATGAAGGAATTTACCAAGGGGAGAGAGCTAGTTAGACCTGCTGCCACCCGCTTTGCCACTAACTTTCTGACTCTTCAAAGTCTTCTCACGCAGAAACACGCATTGAGGCAAATGTTTGCTTCACCGAAATGGTATGAAAGTGAGTTTGCAAAAACTACGGAAGGTAAATCTTGTTTTGAGTCGATTTATCGTCAAAGCTTTTGGAGAAGTGTTGCCTATGTTATGAAGATTTCTTTGCCCGTAGTGAAGGTATTGAGAATTACTGATGGAGAGGTGCCTCCAATGGGCTTTATTTATGAGGCTATGGAGAGAGCGAAATTGGGAATAAAAAACACATTGGGAGGTAAAGAAGAGAAATACATGCCTCTTTGGAAGATAATAGATAAACGTTGGAATGAGAACCTGCATTCTCCATTACATGCAGCGGGGTATTATCTCAATCCTCAATTCTTCTACCCTAATTCACGGCGAATCCTCGGAAATGAAGAAGTATGTGATGGCTTTATAAAGTGTGTGGAGAAGATGTTGCCCACTAGCATTGGAGAGAGTGTAGAGTTCTCAACTGAGATATCAAACTATACAAATGCTAGAGGAAGTTTCCGAACTAATATGGCAATGAACAATAGGGACAAACAACCACCGGGTATGCACACTTTAATTTGTCTTCTCTTTCTTATGTAAGTATTTTATTCACTTATATTTGGTAATGAGGTAACCTACTGCCTACGAACTTATTTTTATAAACTTTCTGCTAGAACTAACTTTGTAGGTTTATAGAAGTATAGAACTAACTCTGTAGGACAGCAAGTGCTAGCCATCATTTTTAGGTTTATAGAACTAACTTATTTTATTTCAACTTTCTGGAAACTGGAAAGTCCTAAACTGCAATCTATTGTCATTCTAAATTTCTATATGAAATCTATTGTCATTCTATACAATCTATACCATTTAAAATTTGAGTTTTCGTAGTCATAAAACTACTGTAATTGACTAATTGACCTACACTTGCAGTCAACTTACTGTTATGGACTGGAATAGTTAAATGATGGCTAGCACTTGCTGTAATTGACTACAAAATTGAAATGGAAAGCTGAAATTTTAAATCCTGAAATCTGAGTATTGTTTTCTAGATTATTAATTAGCACTTGGTTGGAATTTTAAATATAGTTGACTGGTGGCTTGCAAATGGCTCCTCGTCTCCCACTTTGCAACATCTTGCTGTTCGGATCCTTAGTTTAACTTGTAGTGCTTCTGGATGTGAACGAAACTGGAGTGCTTTTGAAAATGTAAGTTCATAAATCTGCCTTTCATATTTAATTTAACTGTTTAACTATTTAAGTTATCTCACTATCTGTAGTTGATTTATTATGTACTTGTTTTAGGTTCAAACCAAGAAAAGGACAAGGTTGCTGCCAAAAAAAATGAATGATTTGGTATACATTCGGCAGAATCAACGTCTTCAAGATCAAGCTTTCAGAAAAATGAAAATATGTTTGGAAGACATTGATGATTGCAATGAATGGATTGATGAAGCTGCCGAGCAAAATGAAATGGAAAATTGGGATGTAGTGGAAGAAGTTGTTGGTGTTAATGAAGCAAATCACATTACAAGAGCAACAACAACAAGAGCATCAACACTTCAGTTGCACGACGAAGAGGAGATGGAGGAGACAGCGGAGGCGGAGGAGACAGATGAGGTTGAAGATCCCTCTGATGATGAACTCAATGAGGATGATGTGCCATTGCTATCAGATTCAGACCAAGAGGATGAGGAGTGGGATGATTGATGATGATTATGGCATAATCATCAAACAATAACAAGCTAACAAGCCTAAATCCTAACATATTTTGCATGACAAGAAACTTCTTTTGAATATTAGGTTTTTTGGAAGTACTTTAAACTACTTTAAACTGTTTTTGTGTTGTTATTCAACTTTTTATATTGTTTTGGTGGTTGTGTTGATCAAGTATAGTGTCTATAGTTCGTTTTTGTGTTTTTTTTTGTCACGTGGCGACGCCATATTTGCGCCATCGCCATGGGAAAAGGCTTGTGCGCCATGGCTGTCGCCATGCGCCATGACAACCTTGTGTATTAGTGTACATAGTTAATGAAATAATATATGTAATAGTAATAACTAATAACTTATCGGGAGTAATATTTATCATAAGCGTTAGATAGATTTTAAATTTGAGAAAGTGAGCGTAAAGAACACACACACATATAATTAAGTATATGTTATATATGATGATAAAATTGGAGCCATATGTATGATGATAATATGTAATATGTTTACTTATGCTTTTACTTTTGTTTTCTTAGAGCTTATTCAAATGAAAGAATAATTGAAATTGATAGTATTAGCTTTTAGCCTTTTATTGCACACAACATTATCTAGTACTGTACAACTCTTTTAGTACTAATGATATATGTGCGTGTAATCTGTGTATACAGTGGATTCAAAAATATGCTAATAAGATAAATAAAATTTATACGGGCACCCGCAGGAGACAATGGGGTGGGGGCGTTGGGCGGGGTGGAGGCAGGGGGCAGGGCTAGGCGTAGGCATAATGGAGGTGGGGCAGGGGGGCTTTTTGACATTGGGCGGGGATGGGGAGTCAACCCCGGCCCCCCATACCCGCTTCATTGCCATCCCTACTCAAGCCCTAAAGATCCTCTGTGACTATCTTTAAAAATGTTAGAATTTTAAAATTCAACAATGGCAAGTGGCAACATGTTGAATCTTACACTATTCACATGCTCTACTTTGACTACATTTTATTTATTAATGCGTTAGAAATTTAATTTTTGAAAAATATTGTTTAAATTCCTCTCCTTATAAATTTTTGAAATCCAAATAAATGTTTTACTAAAAGGGAATGAAATATATTAATGGTCAAAGTTATGCATTGACAAATGTGAAAACGGACATATTGCAACTAAAAAAGAATGCAGGGAGTATATTATTATTACAATGATTATTATTACATTTCAACTTAGCAACCGCCCAAAAAAGGTCCAATTTGACATAAAAACATAATGCCTACAATCATTAACAAGCAAGTGTTATGCCATTTCCCTTATTTAACACGCTGCGGACTCGATCTAAGTCAGATTCTCATTCCTCACCCGCTTAAGCCCGAAGAAGGGCAAATATCAATTGATATTAGTAACAATAATAAAAGGTAAATGGTGAGGCTCCTCTGAATAATATTGGGTGAATGCTGGGAATGAAACTAAAGCTACACTTGAAGGTGGGAAAAAAATCTTTCACACAGATAGACACTTTGTGAATGCCATTAACCTCATAAAGACATGAACTACATCTGAGATGGAGCCTATCGTGAACTTTTGCTCATTTTATTTAACTTGCAGTGCCTCCATTGTGATCTGACTAGAAATAAAAGCTCCATATTACCTATGTGGAGTCTGTGGAAAGAAGAGTTTGAAGGAGCATATGAAGCTCCTACAAATACCGCAGATTTTGAAGGAATAAAAGAGGGAGGGAGAGTGAGGAAGTGAAGTACTTTAATGTAATTTTCATGTACAGCAGAGTTCAATATTCATGATAATCAGGTTCCTAAATGAGTGACGTTGATTTCAACCCGAAATTGTAAAAAAGATGGTCTTATTGGGCAATACATTGAGAAATATGACATGGTTGGTATTCCTGAGTAGCAAGTAGCAACACCAATTTTTTATTCTCAAAATAAAATTTGGGGTAAGTAGTCAGTCATGGCAGCCTATGAGTAGTCATGAAGTCAATGGTGGGGTCGGTGTTGCACTGTTGCTGCAGCTGATGTCATTGACAAGCTGACGGCAGAAGACAGTGCGATGGAGTCATGGAAACGGTCAATGGGAGTTCAAGTAAGTGTCGTCGTCGTGGTAAAAGAAAGCGATGGTAAACAGTGGGAGTGAAGAGTGGTGGACTGTGGCCGCCATTTGGCTGCAGTGGCAATTCTCTTTATATATACCTTGCATTATAATTATCACTATTGCTAATGATTTATGTCCTATGTTTGCAAGTGTTATTTAAAGAAAATATCAGAGAAAATTCCTTAATAGGAGTAAAATACTAAAATGTAGCATCTTCCCTCAAATCGGAGTTTCATTGTTTTCTTCCCAATAGACCCAGTCATTATAAACAGGCGCAAAAATGTAGCATCTTCATTATTTTAGAATGTTTTATCTTTTTCTTATTTCAATAGACCTAATAAGTCTTTTTTTGGGAATAAAACACAGTTAGTCTATTTTTGAAGGTTCTTCATGTTTTACTCCTATTTTGACCAATTTCTTAAAACCATAGCCCAGTGCTTTTACTTTATGTGTATTCCTTTTAGCTGAATTATTATTTTGCTCCAACTTCCTAAGTTTTCATACCAAAAATACATAAATACATTATTACCTTTACATTTCATCTAAATTTTCTTACTTTTTTTACTTGTGCACCTTTCCCTCCTATTCCACCCATCCACCCCTACTATTTTACTTTTCGTTTTCAAACCCAAATCTACTTTATCAAATAAAAAACAGAGCAAGCATGTTTTAGCGCTAAGAAAGAAACAGATTCTAAATACCCTTTTGTGGTATTTTAATATCATCATAGCGTACATGTTTAAATATCATCATAGGTATTTTAAAAGCATTTTAATATCAAAATGAAAGATCACATAGATGGAACATGAACCTGCTGTACAGCATAAGGGTTGGGGTACATGTTTCCACCATAACCAGTTGCAGGAGGAGCTCCACCATAACTTGCTGGATATGCAGGGCCTGAAGAAATATAAAAAAGTCAACAACTTGTACTCAGTGAGTTGCAAGAGGGGAGGACAGACATATTGAGTTGGACATACTTGGTGTTGCTAGAGCAGCAACCGCCCTTGCCCTGTTCTCTGCATCAGCTACTTCAGCACGCAAGTTTTCAATATCATTATTCATAGAGTTCAGATTTTTCTCCAGTATTTGACTCTGTTCTTGATTAATGGTTTGCATCTTCTTTTCATATTCAACAGCACCCCTGCCCTTGTTCAGGTGAGAATATACTATTAAGAATTCTTTAAATTTCATTAAAAAGAAATAGAGTTGATAACTTGATATAAATTCATTTTGACAAGGTGGCACGGTAAAGCAAGAACCCTAGAGGGTGTGTTTGCCAGAGCATTTAGCTCCCAAAAAACTAATTGCAAAGCAATGGGATTTGGGAGACATTTTGGTGAAACTATAAACATTCACAAAATGCAAAATTTATAGTTTCTTCATTTGTGCATTTGGTTTTATATAATTTTTGAACCAGAATGTCCTCTACCAAACCCATTTTTCCTTCTAGCTTACCAAAAATGTATGCAAACAACTAGTTTATCTAACACTCTCAAACACTACCTCCGTTACAAAATAATTGCCTTGTTTAGTAAAATAGTTGAAAACTTGAAAGATGTGGTTGAGATTTGAGTAGAAAAAGTTTCAATGATATGAAAGTGAAACACATACGGAGTATTTTTAAGACAGTTATATTGGGAAAGCCCGAAAAGGATAACAAGCAATTATTTTGGGAAAAATGACGAAATTGCAGCATTTTTCTCAAAGCCCCATTTGGTTCTTATCTAGAATTGCAAACTTCTTAATTCCAAAGGATCAGACACCACTTTTGCTCAAACACTTATAATTACAATAATTACATAGGATGTGGTTATGCTGTTGCCAAAACAATCTTTTCAACAATTACTAAGCATCAATGGATTCAACTATTTTTGTACCTCTCAGCATTTGAATACGTCATAGTTAGATATACAATCACAAATGGAGCAAGGCAATATGCAAACATACTACTGCAATACCTTCCTTTTTGGATTCCCTTCTGCATAGTGGCAATTTCAGTTTTAATTGCCTTGACCTGCTTCAACTCCGGCCGAACCTTCGCGAGCTCATCCTCAATTTCCTTCAACTTTGCAGTGAGCTCTTCACAGTGACCACTCATTTTCTTGATATCATCGTTTACTTGCGCGAGCTCAGCGCAGACTCCATCTATGCCGCGAATCTCTGCATTTGTTCTTATTGAATTCTCATATACTTGACGCACCTCAACGTCGCACTCATCCTTGATGGTGGATGCGGTTGCAGTTAAGTGCTGGAGATCCTGCTGGACGTCGGAAAGCTGCCGCTTGAGGGAGACGTGAGTAGTGGCGAAGCGCTGGTTCTCGAGGAGGAGGGTTTGAATTTGCCGGTGCTGGACAGCGATATGGTCCTCCAATACGGCGG